CACAAGAACGTTTCCATTGAAGGAGATAGCGTTTTTCCAGGCAATGAGATTATGGATCCTAGAACAATTTTGGGACTTGACTAGTTCTCGCATATTCTTTCGCCTTTGCTCCTTCTTTAGCCCTAACGAATCAATCGCAAACTTGAGCACAAATCAATAACTGCTGCAACACAACACGAAAACGATATCATTTGTTCATTTGCCTTGTAAGTGCTTCAGATTTAAAAAAGGTATGGGGCAGTGCAGAAATTCGTCCAGCTTTCACTGCTTGATAGCGTGGTATCAAAATTCCGTTCTGTTGTAATCTTCAAACTTGTGATATTTACGTTCCATTCGATAAATGTTATTTGAGCGAACACACAAAAAGAACAGTATGATTTTTGAGAGTATTCTGCATATCTTACTACACTTTCTAGCTAGAGCAGAGCAATGAAAACTTCGAAATGCCATGTAGAGCGAAGGACGCATCATAGGCGGAAAAAAGGGTGGGCACGTTTTCGTGAAGAAAGAAGTTGATCTCAGCAATGCGCCACGTTCTGGATGCAAGTCGAGCGCAGTCTTCCATGGAATTCTCGGAAAGCTATGCTAAGAATTTCTCGGATCGTTACATAAAGTTGGCGAATATTGTGGATGAGAGGGAAGTTTAGTGGCCTGCGATTCGGATTCTCCCAGAAAGGCCCGGATCCTGCGATTAACCGACGAGAGCGCTACGTAGTAAGCAATATTCAAAAACTATGTGAAACAAGTCACCGTTTAAAGGACATTAAGATATTTATATTAGGATATTTAAAGGATATAATATTTAAAGGGTATCAAAGGATGCATTAGTAAAAGTGAGTGCCGATTTACACCTGAAAAGATCACGTTTATACTTCGCGAGATTAGAATCTTATAATACAAGGTATTTTATGTCTACCATAAATGTTTCCTCTTACAAGCGCTTCTTTTAGAATTCACAATAATTTTAATCTTGTCGTGATTATTTGTCATATCAGTCTAATGCAAACTTTTTTTTTATTTCTGTTTGCAATAATATGGCCACTTGGTGTTTCACACGTTGACGCCAGTATACATAGCTCAAATTTTTGCTTACTTCGATACTTGGACGCCACATCCTCACTGGTTGCGCCGACCCCAGCATATTCTCTATTTCTCGAAGTTTTGCCTCCTTAGCCATTATGATTCTCTGAGGTCACGAGGTTAGCCTTGCCAATGCCGCTATGCCACTAGTTTGATAATAGGATGGTGGTAGGTCCTGGTATTGGTTTACTCTTAGGTGGGCTTCCTGGTGGAAGCACCACACCTAGGTTTGAGAGACCCTACTGGGTGATGAATCCCCCAGCTGTACATCGCAGCCCGTTACTCAGAAACACCACCCAGCGACAATGAGGTGGTAAGACGTTAGGACACTATGTGAAGCTGTAGACCATTAAAGAAGCCTTTACATTTATTGTCCTTTTATGCGCAGAAACTTAGCTATAGAGGTAGCTCAAATCTTGATATTTCAAAGTCTAAAAAAATTAGCAAACAAAGTAGCAAGAGAATATAGCTATATATTGCTATGGTTGGAGATGCCGTAGAATGTTGTAAGGAACGCATCTAGTTGAAACATCATAAGAGCTACGAAGCCTACCGCCCTCCAACGATCTTCAAATACCCACCAGAATTTTCTGATAAAAACTCCTTGTGATTTGCAAAGCCCGCTGACAGAATATAGTAAGTACTTCAGAATGCTCTAATATAGCTGTAGCTACCACAGGATTCCATAGAGAATAAACTCGACCAGCATTTAACTGCTTTATAAATAAAACGGAGCAATATTGATTCACCTGTAATCCTGTTAATCATCAAGTAGCTCGAATGGACAGTAACATATTTCGGTGGCGGAGTATGCGGTCATGGATTTGCCCATAGCTATGTTTATCGAAATGATGTCGAAACCCTCAAACAGGAGATGAAGCCATTACTGTGCAGTTCTTGCCACGGTGATACAATAAATATCAAGTATGCATACATATATATATATATATATATGCAAGTATATATATATGTGTATATCTGCGTGTATGTACGCATATATGTATGTATATATATATAAATATATATATATATATATATATATATATATATATATATATATGAAGGGTGAAGCCATTAATCAATTCATTCCGTATGGCTGCGCTATATATTGCACTTCATCAATAATGACTGAATTAATATTTGGCCTATAGAAGCACACATCTTGGCCAAGCTATATTTATGTATATATGCATTTATACATATGTATGCACGCATACGTGTAAATAAATATATATACATATATACTTACATGCTTACTTGGAAGGTGTTGTAAATGCGAGTGTATACGAGTTGTGCGAATCCCAGCACAATTGCCATTCGTTTCTTTCCCTCGCAATCATTGTCCATGGTGGTTCTTTTGTTCGAGACTGGTGGCACGTGGGAGTCTCATGTCGTGTGTTTTAGACGAAGTCGTTCAAGCGCTCTATGTGTAGTGCGGAGCATTCTTGACGGGGTTAAAGTATCAGCCCGTGTCTTTGCAGTACAAAAGAGCGCAGGGTAAATCGTTGAATCAAAAAAGTTGGCTCGGATTTTTGAATTCTTTAGTTGGTGGCCACGGATCTACCTCATTCATATGAGGGATCTCGAGCCCCAGTTAGTCGCGAGGCTACGTGGCGCATCCCCAGGTGGCGGAGAGAGGGTTAATAGCGGACCAAAAGTAGCGACCTTTGCTCCCTGAGACGCAGGTGGATCCAGGGGATGGACTCCCTGTTTCTACTGCGCCGATTTGGTACACACTTTCTGTATGTACGAGACGTATTCATGCACGTGTGTGTGGGTGCGTCGCAGTTTATGCAGATTGTATTCTACGAGTCAATTCGGCCAAAAACCTGCAATCAAGTGACAGGGAAGTATATGGGAGCGGTTAGGAGTCGCCTCCAACAAATAAGCTCTATGTCCACTCTGGGAGAGCCTGGCAAGCAACCCGTGAGCATGCCCAGCCCCCAGATTCAAAGCCCAGCAGGCTATGCGTGGGTATCGAAAAGCTAAAAACGATGAAAGAAACGGGCCTCATTCCCCTGACCCCAAAAGAGCCCTCGATTTGGAAGCGTTGGGCAGGGCGAGTACGGAGAGGGTGCTAAAATCCCAGGGATATTCTAAGGTGTCTAGACCGCAAAGAACCAAGGTGACGATCTGTGCCTATAATGCACGTGCACTTGCATCCGATTCCTCGACAGAAGACTTCATCATCCAAGCGAGAAGGATCAGGGGCAACGTCACCGACCTGAGCGAGACGAAACGACGCCGCCTATTCAACGCCGTCTATGACAGCGGAGAAGCGCTGTTCCTCGGAACATACGACAGTAGAGGAGTCGACGGGGTCGGCGTTCTCGTCAACACCAGTTTGTTCATAAAAATGGTTTCATTCGAAGAACTAAGACCCCGACTTTGTCGTTTATGACTGAAGAGACTTAGAACAATACCGGCTTTGACAATCTTTGTCGTTTAAGCGTCCACATCAAACTATGATGAAAAAGAAGTCGAAGCGTTCTATACGGACTTAGAGATGTTCCACAGAGAAGACCACACATTCTTCAAGATCATTAGAGATTTCAACGCCAAGACTGGACCAAGAAGAAAGTCTGAAGAACGTCACATTGGTACCCACGGATTAGAATGGGAACGAACAGGGTGAGCGGCTGTCTTAGTTTATCATGGCGGCCAAGACAATACATGGTACCTCGCAATTTCAGAACCCCACCCTCAACACTGGATGTGGGAGTCTCCCAGTGGAGAGCACCATAAGGAAATAAAGGACATTATAAAAAATCTAAGGTTTTGCCTAACCGATGTCGCTGTTGTCCCAAAATTCTACACAGGATCAGACCATCGTCTCCTTCGTGCACGATTCTATTTTTCGCGGGAGGGAAAAAAAGCTGCTAAATTCAAAAACCGAAGTCACAGAACCACCGTGAACTGTAACTTATCCAATTCATCAGTCGGCTGTTGGAAAGATGCGTTGTCGATAACATCTACGAAAAATACGACCGGCTCCTTCAACAACTTCACGTTAGCGCTATGAAAGCTGAGAATTCGAATGCCACCAAGAGACGTCTCTCTCCAGAAACACTCGAGCTGATACGCCAGGGTGGTATCGCCAGAGCTGCAGGCAACCGCGAACTAACGTCCGAGCTTGCAAAACAATATAAACAGGCGACAAAAGAAGGTCTTAAAGAGAGAAGAGCAGCAGTAATGGTCGAAGCTGCAGAGGCTGGAAAAAGCATTTTCAAAGCCCACCGAAGCTTCGCCAATTACAAAACCAAGATGATTGCACTCCGACGCCCAGACAGAACAGTTACAGCGTCCAGAAAACCAATCGAGAAAATCATTCACGAATAGTACTCAGATCTCTTCGATAGCTACATCCACCTTCCGTCATATGAAATAAAGGAGGATGGATATGTCGTACGACCGGTTCTTCCTTCCGAAATCCGACATGCCATTTCGTCGGTGAGAAATCGTATAGCACTAGGTGCTAACTGGATAAGTTCTAAACACTCGAAGAACCTTCCGCCAGTCCTCGTAAACCCACTGGATCGGCTGTTCACACGTTACCTGTCTGAATGCAAGGTCCCTGCTCAGTGGAAAACCAGCAAGACCATGCTATTTTCCACGAAGAGTAACCTCCACGGTACCGACAACTATCGTCCACAACTGTTGCGAGAGTACAAAAGACCGCTCTGTCTCACTTTCATCGATTTAAAGAAGGCTTTTGATTCAAATGAGATAGAAGCAGTCGTGGAAGCCCTTGATATTCAAGCAGTCCCTACTCATTGCATAAAGATTCTTCGTGTGCTGTACAAAATTTCACAGCCGAGATATCACCATTCTACAACGGTATTAGCATTGAGGCCAAAGGAGGAATTAGGCAAGGCGATACCATCTCGCCATAATTACTTATCGCCACCTTCCAGAACGTCATGAGAACATTGGAATGGGATAACATCGGAGTGAAAATCGATGGTCGACGGTTACACCATCTTCGCTTTGCTGATGACATCATCCTCATAACACCAAACATTGGCCTGGTGGGACGTATGTTTGACGACTTTGATAAAGCCTGTGGAAGGTTTAGTCTTCGACTAAATGTCACAAAAACGATGTTCACGAAGAACGGATTGCTTTCGCATACCCCATTGACGCTCACCGGAACGAATATCACCGAATGCTCCAGTTATCTAGGGCGACAAATCAATATGATGAACGACCTAGCTCGAAAGGTGAGCAGAAGGAAACGAGCGGCTTGGGGAGCTTCCGAGAGCATCAAGGATGAGATGAAGAGAGCAAAGAACACCCGACTCTGTGCCCACCTTTCCGACTCAACCGTACTTCCTGTCCTAGCGCATGCGTCAGAAACCTGGTCGCTACGTGAGCAGGTTGATAGATCACTCAGTGTTATTGCACGCTCAGTTGGAAGTACGATGGTAGGAGTATCCCGTTCCGCACAACTAATGGAAGGGATCCGAGGCTCCGATCAACGTTAGTGATCAAAAATCAAGTATGCCGTTCTGTACGCCAAACAGTCGAGGATAAGGTGGGCCGGACACGTAATGCGTATGAATGACAACCGGTGGACAAGAGCCGTGAGTGACTGGATTCTTCGGATGTTGAACGCGGTGCAGAAAGGCCACCGACTCGATGGTCAAAGTTCTTTACGAAAAGCCTAGAAAGAAGATATGATCGATGAGTCCCTAGAGCGAGCACAACCTACTGGGCTACTCTTGAACGCGACGGGGAAAAATGGAAGATTTACTGGCGTTCGCTCGAGTCACTCGACGATCAACGAGACTATAGGTGATACGGGTGATATATATAGCATGTGAACAATGCTCGGTCCATGTTGTTGTAAACATCTTAGAGCAAACAGTTATTCTTTACAGCAATATTCATACTTAAAAAGTGTCCCCTAAATCGGTACCTGCAGCATTTCTGTCTACGGCTGTACTACTGCAGTGTTTTTTGTTCGTTCATACGAAATTAGGACAAAAATGTGTCACTGCATATATCAAATAGTACAAACTGAGTCACCCACCAACGATTTCTAAAGCATTCAAGTTATGTGTGCAAAGCAAACAGTTATATAAATCTCATCTTTGTCTACTTCATGGTTCACTTTGAGGCCAAAACAGTGTCTCAGAGCGAAAATATATCGTATATAAATGTGTATAGGAGTTTGTATGGGATTCCACACAACAATTACAATTTGAGTAGATATTATACAAGGCTTCGCTTCATTTTAAAATTAATTTCAGCTCTCTGTCATGTATTATAACGGACTTTATACTCAGAATGTACCTCGACTGCAGTTTACGATCGTGCCCGAACCGCTAACACAAGCAATTGGCATTCACATTGCAGGACATGAGGGTTGGACATTCTGCAATGGTTTACCGATGTACTTGCTTGAGGAATCCAGAGGTAGGTAGCATGTTATTGTAGTTTTTAGGCAACCCGTCTTCTAGAAAACGTAAGAGGGAATGAATAACATTCGCAAGACTTGAATACATCTAGTTAACAGCAATAGTTTCATCAAGAAATGTAGTATCCAGCTACGTAAACTCTACTTAATGTGAAGATGAAAAAAGAAGCAAACTAGAAAATGGGCATCTTCTATCTTCTTACTCGACATGTTGAAGCAATACCTTCAACTGCCAATTGCAGTCGATAGCCGAAGTGCGACTTCTATCACTATGAACTTTTCATTCGTCACTATGTACAACCAACTAACTACTCTATTTGCATGGAAGAGAATTCAAACTGCATTTCAGATCAATGACAGGATTTCGGCAATGCTCCTGTCGTGTATATTCGCTATTCAATAGCCAGCACGCATTATTATGTCACATCAACATGCTGATAGATCTCATTTCCGAATTGTGAAATCGTGACTACACTCGTCCCTCGTCATTTTTTCGGCTATACACTACCATATAACGATTACTATTTGTAAAATTCATTTCACTTCACACATCTCATTTGTATGCGCTATCTTGTCTTTCATACACAATTTGCTTTAATAGGAAAAATATTTTATGCACATATAAATGCACAGAAACAGAATAAACAACAGATTTAGAGAGACAATAGACAAACGTACCCAGAGAAGATAACATCATACACGACTAAAGCCGGAAAGACCTCATGGGCGCCGGTCAACAACCTCATCGCCTCACCATGACACACTTGCGCTATGCTCAATTGTGGCATGGAATGCTGATGGGTCTTTGAGACCACAAATTTTAAATAGTCATGCCTAACTGAAGCAGAAATAGATCTAGCTGTTGAAAAAGAGAACCGAATTGATTTGGGAAGAACATCGGAGAGCGACTAGTTTAGGACTACAGCACGAAACCTCCAAGTTCACAGGGGCACGTCTTATGCAACTAGTTATCCTGTAGATAACCACAGACGAAAAAAACCTTCCCCCTTCCCACTCTTGGGAATAAATAAAAAGAAACCATTAGAGACAATTATGTAAAAAGAAACACTACCAGTTCATCTAAACGAGTAAATAAAAGAAACACAAAGGCAAGAGCAATAAGATACTATGAGGTAGACGGAGACCTCCGCAAAGAATCGATAAGTGATAAAATCTGAGACAGAAGAATAAAGAACACATTTGAATCAAACACACATGGAATTATATTCGACATAAAAATTATAAGACACAGCACGACGTAATGAGTTCTATGCCTAGGATACACCGTATTTTAGAAAGTGCCTTACGCAACCCCGTGTTGAAGTCCTAGACAGGACGGTTGGTGAACGTCTTTGCAAATTCACCTTCATCTCCAGAATGAGGGGTAGCGTAAGAAGTTGAACTAAAAAATGTTTGGATGAGGAGAATCTGTTCCATGGCTATATATTTTAAGTCCTTATTAATAAAGTGAGTAAATAGAAAAAAGAAATTGTCAATGAATAAACAAATATAAGAAAGAAATCACTATTTGGTACATTTTTTCCTGGATCCACATTTTACTAATAGAAGAATAACGCGGTTGCATCATCGACTAACGAGATGGTAAAAGGATTCCTACGACTTCTAATTCTATTATGTTCTCCACAACGGTTTCTATTACACGAATGAATAACACTTCAAGAATCCGCTGAGGTAAATCACCTCCATCACTGCCAATCCAATAATCATTGAGTGAAGTGATAAGGGCGAGTAGTGGGCAACATTCCTTTATTTTTACTGTTTTGTCGCAAGAAGTACGCCAAATGCAGCTCAAGTCGTGAAGATAGACGCGCTCATGGTAATTTGTCTGGCTTTCTCAGAGTACGCATGGGCTCTTATGTCCAAGACACCAAAGCCTCCACCCCTATATATATACTTGAGTCACTTAACTGCATGTTCTCGATCGAACCGTCTTTCTTGCAGAATACAATTCGTATATACACAAGAATATGTGCCAATGCACACGAAAAGAATCAAATGTATAAAAAACTATAAGGCAATTTAATAGCGATAGAATATCCCAAAGATGGAATGATATCCAAATTCTATAAAAAATATTGCAATAAATGAATAGAAAGCTATCGACGCATATGTACAAATAAAAGAATAGTGGAGCAGCGCTGCACAGAAAACTCAGAAAGAAAAAATACTGTATTTTGTCGAAAAAAAATCTAGTACTGAACATTTCCCTGATAGAGAAAAAGGAAAAAGAATTACAACGAAAAAAAAACGAACCTGTCGCCAGCGTGCCCGCGTTGTGCGTTCGCGGACTTTATATGCCACCCATCGGTGTCGACTGACCCCTCATTCACAGTGTTGTGTTGAAGAATTTGATCAGTAACGTTAGAATTCGATTCAGCCGAACAACGGCGCTTTTCACTATCCACCCTACAGCAAACAAAGATCAAGATTCTCACCAAACAAACAATACAACCCTTCCAAGATGTGATCACATCATGAAACGCCCACTGCAAATCTGCCATGCTTTTAAATATCGCCTCTCCATGGCAAACCTTATCCCTTGTCCTAACCATATGTGAAGCAACCTACATAAGCAACGGCAAAGACTTGTACAAAAGTAGGAGAGGTGGGAATTCTCAGCTTCAGGTCGTGATACAGCCCAGCCTGAGATATATAACACCTCTAGAGTATATTAATGGTGTGTGTCTCCAGCTGAGGATGTGAGCATTAAAAATCCATTATATTGCTGGAAACATCAATAGTTATAAACATTCGCCGATTCCACGGCCACGTTTACCTATCGCCAGGGCATCGACTCTCCCCATTAAAAGTGCGATTACTATATAATGTCAGTTAATCTACTCCGTTTTATATTAATGGTAGGGGAAAAAACGACAAAAATGCTAGATCATAATTATGAAGAGTTTTTAAGATTTTAAGAACGCTACGCATGTAGCGCAGTGGTCGGAGGGGCCTTGCAATAAACATGGGATTGATCCCAGTGCCCTAGGCTCATCAAGCCTTCCATCCCTCCTGAACCGTCGAATTAATGCCAAATTTGTCTGGGAAGATAGAAGCACTGGCTCAATATATCGGTAGGCCACTGTCAGTCATTGTAAAGGCCAGGTATGCATTCAGTCACCTACAACGCTTAATGAAGTCGATGGCACGGCGCATCCCTCAGGGACTGAACAACGACAACAGCTTTGTCCATTACCCTTTTATATTAAGGAGCGCAAGGATTGTACAATGTTACAATGTTAAGAAATATAGTCAGTTTCATTCATACAAATGGTGGATACAGGACTGACGAAAAACCTTGTCCATATTTTAAAGAGTGTGGACTATAACTCAAGGGCGGCATATCCAAACTGGTCTACTCTTTCTTGCTCTTATAAATTTCGTACAGTTACAGATTTAAGTATATGAAGTGCAGTGGCAACCCTGCCTTTTGCTTAAAACAAAAGTCTCTTAGTTGCAAGTTCGACAGAAACCGCAGACTAAATACTACTTTATAAAATTATAAAACTCTTACCCTTCTTCAGACGAAATATCTTCCAAAATAGTTTGAACGGAGACCGTATCAGCTGGTGGGGTATTTCCACCCTCATATGCATTATTCACTTCTCCAGAACCCTAAAGTTGCCTTAATAGTGTTACTCAGATCAAACCGAGAGTACATTTAATTGTATAATAACTGCATCATCATAAACTGTTGCCTCGATTTGGAATACCTGTGCTTTTGACCATGGTAATACTTTTTATATCCTATACTTGATATTTACTTGATACCTGAATGGCCTGCCCTCACTAGTTATGCGGGCCACAGCATAACCTCTATTTTTCGAAGATTTGCTGGTTAAAACATTGTAGTTCCCTGGAATCCCGACGTCAGCCTGGTCAAAGTCTGCCCCACGCCTTCATCACCACAAGCAGTCGCAGCCCTTGTGGATCACAGGGAACATTGTCACCATGTGAATTTCATACCAAGACGGTGGTGGGTCCTGGTAATGGTTTACTCTTAGATAGGCTTCCTGACAGAAATCCCGGACTCTTTCTCAGCCTGGGAGACCCTGCCAAGTGATGAATCCCCCGCTGTACATCGCAGCCCGATACCCAAGAACACCTCCCGGCCACGTTGAGGCAGTAAACCGTTGGAAGGGCTTGCATTCTATAAACTATAGCTTATCCTTATCTCGCGCATATCAAGGATATTGGATAAGGAGCAACCGGTGGAGCAAGCAGGATTTAAACAAAGATTATGATGCACGGAGTACATACAGACGGTGCCCAGGGTCTCTGAAGTTTGTCAGGAATACCACCTGCCCCTAGTTCTTACCGTTGTCGACTATAAAAAAGCGTTAGACAGTGTCGAAATAAATGCAATCCGATCAGCCCTCGTTGACCAAGGAGTAGACCCTTCTTACATAAGAACTCTCTGGCTGTTATCCGAATTGCAATACGAAAATACAGCTTTTCTATCGACCTCTTATCATACCCACAGGAAAAGAGGTTCCGCAGAGCGACATAATATCGCCGAAGCTGTTCAGTGCCGCACTGTAGTGAATAATGAATTCACTCAATTGGGATGAGAAAGAAATACGTATTGATGGAATATTCCTATCAAAGCTTCGTTTCGCCGATGATCGATGAGCTCAACGAAGGGGGAAAAAAATCGGACTACGCATAAATCTGAAGAAGACCCAATTGGTGAAAAACTCCCGGTGCGAAGGCGAAAAAATTGAACGATGGCTCTCTGATTGCAGAGACCACCTCGTACGTATTCCTTGGGTGATGAATGAACATGAAAAACAACATGAAGGAAGAATTAGGCAGAAGAAATAGAGCAGCTTGGGTCACATTCGGCCCTCTCAAAGAAGCCACCGACCAAATGATGAAGTTGAAAATCCGCTCACCTTTTCGATTCAACGGTTCTCCAAGGTCCCTGCTATGTTGCAGAAACGTGGGCTGATGCTTCAACCATGTCAAGAATACTTTATGATATTCACAGAACGCTTGAACGATGTATTCTCAAATATAACCAGCAAACTCAATATCTATCCGGAATTCGAAATTCCGTTCCTCGAAATTTATCTTTTGGCGACTCTGAAGAACATGCATCGGTGGCGAAACATGGATGGGCCGATCACATGAGATAAACAGACGACAGATGGACGAAAGGAACTATAGAGTGTACTCCACGATAATGCAGGCGCCCCCAAGACGGCGACCTACGCGTTGGACGGACATGTTCGTAACCAAAATTAATCGACTGTACTGGCAGTTCTATTTGCTTTACAGATCATGGTATGAGAATCGCACGTGTCACTATGTTCGAACAAAATCACCATCATGAACAACGATTGCGAGGGAAGGAAACGAATGGCAAATGTGTTAGGGTTTGCACAACTCGTGAAGACGGAACGTCCAAGTAATTAAGTAAGTATAAACTACAGCTAAATCGAATGTGTCCTCCAAATAGTAATTCTAGGTCGTTACTGTGGCGTAACAGTGGTGTAACACAAAACTCCCAATCAGGATAATTAGGTAAAGTCTTACATCTTATAATGATACTAGGCCAAGTGAATGAACTGCTTGGTGAAACCTTCAAAGATACACACGGCATAAAAACACTGGGTAAAATGAATTAAAATATTGAGAAGACTCACATCCATTGGTGAACGAGACGCAGATTTCGTGAAGAATCCCTTGAATTTGTTCTTGAGTGACTGTGACAACGTACTGGTTTCAGCGTCATCATCGGTCACTCTTTCGGAAAATATACCTTCGTCCGCTCCCACTAACTGTTCTCGAGATCCTCCAATGTCACTATGATGCACATCAGCCAGCACGTGACTCGTTGAAGCTGTAAATGCGTCGAAATTATGACATACTTATTTGCAATATGATGAAACAGAAATTAGCTAACCAATTGGTGTCTCGTTTCTTTCCTCATCTTCAAGATAAGTAACTGTACTGGAAGCATTTCGAGAAGATGGAGCTTGCTGCAAATTACGATGCGTTATCCAAATTTAGTATAACCACACGAGGTTTTTGGCGGATGATTTTAGAACGAAAAACGCAGACCTCTTGTCGTATTTCCTCTTCACTTGATTCCGAATCTGAGTTTTTCGCACCAACGCGTCGCTTGCACATTGGGCAAACCTTACGGTTCTGAGTTAACCACGGATCGATACACTTGCAATGGTATGCTAAATTAAGTTACCAATTTAATGCGGTTTAAAAAATGTATAGCTAAGGAAGAAACTTACTATGTCGACATGGTAGCACACGCAACTTCTCACCTTCAATAAAGTCATCAAGACAAATAGCACATGTTTCCGGTTCATCTCCTAAAATGTTAGGAACTAGGGAAATCATTTATAAAAAATGGATTCCAATTGAAAATTTTCGCTAACAAAAAAAAGCTGCCATAGAGTATCTCAAATAAAAACCTGCCTTTCCGAAACTTCTTAGTTGGGATTTTCCGAAGATTTCGTTTCGACAGACGTTTACGAGCGATGCGCCGACGTTCCCGACATAATCTAATCGCCTTCAATATCTTTAAATGAGGAAGTCGACGACAACGTTAAATGATCGGTGAAAAGAAGAACTAGGGGTTAGCTTAAATCCACTTTGCTTACCAAGCTGATGAGCAACACAATGAAGCAGAATCCTACGACGACTACGAATGGAATGAGGTAACGAAACAAGTCATAATAACCAGGTGAGACCTTTACTTGGACGACATACCTGAATTATAGTCTCTCTAAGACTGTTCGTTTCATACACTGGGATCCGAAAACTCTTGCATTACATTATTTCTAAACGGAACCCACCCTTTCCTGGCTGGATATGTAGAATTAATCGCGATCATACATTGGTAAGAGATCATGAGAACTGGTATTCGAACCTTGAAAAACATTTGAAATGAATTTGTTCCGGAAAAACACATTTATAAGAAACTCACCAAATCCGCATATTTGCTTCCTGCCATATCAATAGGGGATTCACCGTCGTTATTATAAACAATCAAGGCTTGAAATCCGGATGGATGTGCACGTTGAACATTATAAGCCTGGAAATAGTGTGGCACTGAGGTATGACACGGAAAAACGAAATGGAAAATTAAACCGGCATTGAACGCACTTTCTCAGAAAAGTTGCAATTTCCCCTCGGAACCAAAGCAAAATTCGAGTCACACAATGTGACATTGATAGGATACTGAAATTAAGAGCATTCAAAGTACTCCAGGCAAATGGACTTAGAGAAAACCATGTAACTGCTTTACGATACTTGTCAACAAGTACTCATGGTAGCTTTTCATACAGTTGATCTGATTAAGCGGTAACATAACCGTGAGTGAAATGCACAGCAATTACCGCCTAATTTTAAGGAAACCTGCACTCTGACACCGATGACATATCTTCCCATAAATAAATCAACCGTTAGGGTTTCCACATCGATAACAATGTCAAGGATAACGACTGATAATTCAACATTGAGTAAGTAGATAAAAAGGATAAAGCACTCGACGTTGACCAATCCCTCAAGGATGCGTCATGCATTCCACTTCATTAAGCATCGTTGGAGGTGACTGAGTGCATACCTGGCCTTTACAATGACTCGCGGTGGGCTGCCGATGTAGCAAACGCTACTATCCTTCCCAGACAAGTATGGTATTAACTTGCCCACCTCGGAAGGACGAAGGGTATGGTGAGTCTGGGCCCCAGGATTAATCCCATGTGTATTGTAGTGCGCCCTCAACCACTGCGCCACAAGCGTTACGAGTACTTAAATATAGAGTGAAAGACCTAATGCTTCGTTTTGTTTTGTCTCTAAATTTTACTGGATGCTAAAATTAGTAGTATGCAAAATAAGTTCATATCTGCTGCATATTTAGCACAATTAAAAAAAATAAAATGTACTCTTATCATTTGCTAATTAGCGATCAGAAAAACCGTTTAGCAAGGCGACTTCATGGAATACTTTAAATTGTAGGGAAAGTCTAATCACAAATACCTGACACTGAGGAGTAAATAAACAACACATGAAGTACGCTTTGTTCGCATCATCATGCATTATTATACTTACTTAAATATTTGAACGGTCCGTCTTTAGTGGTTGTGCAGGAACCCTAGTGATCTCCACCTTTTCGGAGTTTTGCTGGTTTAGCCACTATGGCTCTCTGGAGTCCTGAGGACAGTTTAGACAATGCTTGCCCCAGGTCGTCACCACTACAGGTAGTCGCCGCCTTTGTGGATCAGTAGGAGATTTGTCACCATGCGACTAGTTTGATACCAGGACGATTGGTAGACCCTCGTATTGGTTCACTCTTAGCTGGACTTCCCGATGGAAACACTGCTCTACTTCTGAGCTTGGAAGGATTTGCTGAGGGGATCGACCACCGCTGTACATCGCAGGCCGACACTCAGGAACACCACCTAGCCACGATGGGGCGATAAACCGTTGGGAGGCAAGCGTTATTGTAGTACAGATAAATGTTTAAAGGTAACATAAGTAGTAAATTATATCGCTTAAACATACAGTTACAGCCTTACAAGCGTCCGGTGGAACAGTAAGTGTAGCACATCCAATGGCTTCAGGACCGAATGAGAACGTTACGATGTCAGCACCAAAGTTGGCACCAGTTGCTTCGCAACGCTGCACTGAACGTCGAATGCCCATTCTAGCAGGCTCAAGCTAAAGGAAACTATTGGTTGTAAACGAACTACAGCGGACCTTGAACAGACAGATACAACATATTTGACGATTTTCTTTGGATCAAACACGAAAGACTAACAGTAACTTACAACAAATTTCTCACACTTGAAAAAGAAACCACTTACCACTTCAACAACAAACTGTCCGTTTATGAAAAATTTGTCAAGGGTGAGCAGTAGTAGGGTGAGGAAATGAACGTCAGATGACCAATAAAAGCCATAAAATCGTAGCATTATCATAGGTCGTCAACACTGTACACTCTTTGTGGCAAACGGAAGAAATTAGATCGCCATAAAACAGAATCTGGAACACAGGGCTTCATCCAGAAAAAAAAAGAAGAAAACCCAAACTGTATGCCCTGAGTCCGCGATCAATACAGAAGCGAATTGCGGTGACACCCCACATCAAGGCATGGTGTGTGAAATGAGAGAAAGTAACTGAATACCGACGACATGTCAGTAACATAAAAAAACAAAGATAACAAGAAATTACCAGTAACAAAGGGAACTGAAAGCGGATGTACACATATCAACAGTCAGCTGATAACTGTGTACTTTTTGTTGTAAAAATCGATCAACTGTTTCGCACCGATGACATCCGGAAACGAACTGGACCTCGTGCTACACTTTTGCCAAAGAAATCAACTCGTTTAATAAGTAACTTTAATACTTTGATAAAATAAAAGCAGAAAACAAAAAGTCCCGAGGTTCTACCGTGACTTATCAAAGCCCAGATCCGGTCACGACTTGTCAGAATCTACCGCTCCACGTTCGCCGTGGTCCACGTTATCCGAAGCCGTTTACTCTTATGTTCGTAACCAAATTTTATTAACTTTAAAAATGATTATTCTTGTCAACTTTTCCACAACTGTGCTGGTTCTTGGACGCAAATATAACAGGATTTATGTATATTGTGCGTAAGTCTGTAAACTTTATCCCTGTAGCAGCTTCTTTATGCTAAATATTTGTTGAGTTTAAATGTGTCGTTTTCTTGTTCAGCAATCGCGAGGTTTTTAAACAGCATACATTTACTTCCATAAAAACACAATACAATACAACGCTAGCTGACGTTTCGGCAGTATCACCTTCTTCAGAGCCTGGAAGGGTATACTGTTTGTTATATTTGTTGAGTTTGTTGAATCTTTCGGCTCGACCTGCTTCGTAAAGGTCTTCAGTGTTCTTTATTTCATCGAGGCTTTACGACAAATGCTTTAGCATGCCGACAGCTGAGGAAGAATTGTTCACTAGACGATATGGTGTCCTCCTGAGTGTTGCTTAGCTGTCTGTGTGATTGTAGTATGGTCATGAACGGGTTCAGTTGAATGGCATGTGTGCTACTTTGCTAGAACTCCATCATTATTGAGAGTGTAAGAGAGCGAACAGCTGATTTAAGCAGATGTTCTAATGTAAGCGAAGTGCATGAAGTGATCAATGAGTGCTGGTCGGAATTGAGCTCATATCCATTACGAATGTGTATTTTCATAGACGGAGAAACTCAAAATAACGGGAGAACGGCATTTCCGGCATTCTTCGATGGCATTTGGGACGGTCTATTTGTTCAGTAAACAAAAGAATCCTGCACGATGTCTAATTTTTTTTGAGAAAATCAGACTGAAAGTCTTCGATAGTCAGCCAATCATAACATTTTGCCGTTTTTTCCAGAAAGTGATAAGGAGCGTAACCCATCGCATTCATGGACACGCTTTACAATAAAATGATACCATATGCTTTGTAAGGTGAAGCCTTCCGATATTATCGCTTTTTCTCCGTCCAATCATCTTTGTTAGCTGCCTATTAAGATATGTAGATGGAGTCGCTGTAGTTTGTTATTGTGCCTAGTTTCAAATTCTTCTCCCCGTTCAAATACTTTGTTTCTTATTATGTTCGAGCCGTAGGATAACTTATTAGGGAGACTGAAAACAGCATTAAGAGATACTCTAAATCACCTGTATCACTTGTTATCTTATTGCTCGCCATATGACTCAAGTGGACGGCTGTAACTTTCACTTCCCCTTATGACGTACAAGAGTGGCCCAGTGCGTTCTCCATGCCTTAAGGACTCATTGAGCATCATATTGTTCTTCTACGGCATTTGTGAAAAACTATGACCACGGGTCGGTGAGCTTCCTCCTATGCGTTTGACATTCCGAGAAATCCAGTCACTAACTGCTCCTGTTCACTGGTTGTGGTTCAGACACTTCACGTGTCCAGTTCATCCTATCTTCGACAGTTTGGCTTATAGAACGGCATCTTTGATTTTTGACGCAGGTTGGAGCTTCGGATCCTTTCCTTCACTTATGTGACACGGGATACTCTTAGCATCGCCCTTTCGACTGCGCGTTCAATAACGCTGAGGGGTCTTCTATACCGCTTGCGTAGCCACCAGGTTTACGACGCGCACTCTAAAGCAGGAAGAATCGTTGCGTTGAAAAGCTGGATAAGGGGAGTGAGTTTTGTCTTCTTCACTATATTTCAGGTTCTCTTGAAAGCTTTCCATGCCACTCACTTTATCCTCCTCAATTCTGGAGCTAAGTCGTTCATTATGTTGGCTTTCCGGCCTAGATGGACGTAGCTGGAGCACTTGGAGACATTCATTCCACTGAGACTAAATGTGGCATGAGAAGCAACTCCCTTCTTCGTGATGGCGATATTTTGGTTGTGAAATGTTTGTACTCACGTAGAATCTCCGTATAGCTTCTGTCTCAAATGATTCGAAAGCATTCTTTAAAACCACGAAAATGGGACAGAGCGGTGTTTTGTGCTCCTGTGATTCTTCATTGAGCCTGGTTATCAAGTGGATTTGATCCATGGTACTGAATTGAATCCGAGCTGCTCACGTAGCTGCCCTTAATTCACTGTTCTTTCAGTCTTGTTGAGGATGATTTAATTGAAGAGTTTACAACGAGAGGCATCAAGCTGAAGGGGTGGTAGTTGCCAGTATCGTGGAGTGTAATATATCACCCTTCTTTGCGATTCCATTTTGGCGTATCAGCTCGAGTACTTTTGGAGCCAGACGTCTCTTGGAGTCTTTCTAACTCTCAGCTTTCATAGACTAACGTGAAGATCTTGAACGAGCCATCGGCTCATTCCTCGGCGATGTTATCAACAACGGCATCTTACCAAGAGCAGACTAATGATCTAAATAAGTCACAGTTCATAGCGGTTTTAGGGCTTTGGTTTTAATAAATTTAGCGTCGGGTCCCGTGCAAAATTTTGGTACAGCAGCTACAACGGTTAGGCAAAACCTTTGATTTACTATGATGTGGGTCTATTTCATTATTATACTTTTCGTTGATTATGTAATTACCAAAGAGTTCTTCGTCTTTTTGTAAGTGTTATTGAAGCGTTTGGCCTAGTAGATTGTATATCAGTATACCCTTCCAGGCTCTGAAGAAGGCGATACTGCCGAAACGTCAGCTAGCGTTGTATTGTATTGTGTTTTTATGGAAGTAAATGTATGCTGTTTAAAAACCTCGCGATTGCTGAACAAGAAAACGACACATTATACTTTTCCTTAGGAGATTTCCACGTCGAGTTGTCCGTGGGCTTCCTGAAATTGCGACATGGACGGTCTTCATCGTCATATGGAACTCAGATAGGCACCCACCACTTCCTTTCCATTTTAATTCCTGGAGTTCAATGTAAAGTGCTTTGGACAACCATCTGGGTGCACTTTTTTACGTTACAATCCCGAATAATGACTTTAGGAATGCTTAGACCTCGCTTTCATCACAGTTTGATGTGGGTTGGTTAGGGAGCGCAATACTCAGAGCCGGTGTTGAACCATGTCTCTTCAACCGTAAACATCTGAATTGCGTCGCTATTTGTTCTAATGAATCGATGTCGATGGCTGAGCTCGTGTTGACGGGCACGCCAACACCGCCGAGTTCTCTGTTGTCGCATGTTAAGAGGAATAGTTCTTCTTCGGTGTCACAGACCATTGAATGTGTGGCGTCTTCTCGCTCAGCCAGTCCAATGACGCTGCACCTTATCCTTCTAGTCTGCACGATCAAGTCCTGTATAGAGGATTCAGATGCAAGCGAT